CAGCGCCCCTACCCGGAACCGCATCACGTGACGAGATGCGCCCCGGCCGCGCCCCCGTCCCGTCACGCAACGGGGCGCGCGCGCGGCTGAGGCGCGTGCGCCGCTCCGCCCCTTCCGCGCCGTCCCCTTTGTCCCCCCCAGCGCCATGTCAGTGTTCCACGATGAGGTGGAGATCGAAGACTTCGAGTACGATGAGGAGACTGAGACCTACAGCTACCCGTGCCCCTGCGGGGACCGCTTCCTCATCACGCGGGTAATGGCGGGTGGGGGGAGGCGGCAGGGGGGGGGGGGGGGGGGCGGAGCGGGCGGGGAACAGCGTTAAGCCGCGGGTGTCTGTGGGTCGGACAGGCGGCGGGTCGGTGACTGCTTTGTCGGGGGCTGTTGCAGGAGGACCTGGAGAACGGCGAGGACGTGGCCACCTGCCCCAGCTGCTCCCTGATCCTGCGTGTCATTTACGACCAGGTGGGTGCGGGGAGAGGGCTGTCGGGCGCGGTTGCGGCCCGCTTCCCCCGGCGGCAGGCCGGCCAAGTCGAGTGTCGGTTCGCCGGTCGCTGAGGAAGGCGCGATGGCAGCTTTTAAAGGTCACCAATAAGCGTCGGATGGGGTTGTTGGGGAGTCAGCGGTCCCTTTGTTGGTGGCTAAGACTCCTGTCTTATCTCAGCTTTTCTGGTGCGCAGCTTCTTCAGTGTTTGGGCTTTAACATGTGCCTGCTGGGTGAGTGTGAGGTGGAATACAGGCAAAACAATCTCGATGATGTTAAGATCTGTTTGTGACTCTAGCAGCCCTAACAGCTAGCCTAGTAGTATTTCTTATTTAATAGACATGTTATGCCTTTCATCTTTTGGGAGATAGATTCATAGCAGTTATACCCAGGCTAGAAAACAAAATGGTTGTCTGGTGGTTTTTGAGGGGAAAGATATCCAAAAATTATGAAAATCAACTAAGACTCTACTTGCTGTCTTTAGGAGCAGTTCATGCGTGATGAAGTCGTTGCAGAACCTTTGACAAACAAGGAATTGATTAAGTGCTGATGATCATCATGAACTGTTGCTGCTTTAGAGTAAGAAAGTGTGGGGACGGCAACTGCGGAAAGAGACACGGTCCTTCTCCTGGAAGTGCTCGCTGCTGTGAGATACAAGTGCAATAACTGACTGTCTTCATAATCTGAATGAGAATTTGCTGGGATGTCAACACATGAATGTGTTTCATTCAAAAAGGTTATACATTTTAAAAAATATATAAGTTGCCGTATGTGTTCTAAAAGACTTGAGGATTATGATCCTAATTGACAGCAAGTCAATATACAGAAGTAGTGCGCAGAGCCATGAAATTACGACATTTATCTAGCAGTGGCTTATTAGCCTATGGAGAAAAGCAGAAAACGTGTAGGCATATACCAGTGTTGAATGGAATAGAGAGCTGAAACATTGGGAGACAAAATCTAGAAGTTCATAGGGTATGATGCCATATAGAATTACAGCTTTGAGTGTGCTATCACCTAGGATGTGGGCTCACATACTTTCAGCCTATACTGAATATGGGGGAAAATAAGAGGCCTAGAACCAACGCTGTTGGTGAATTGTTTTTACTTTACTATAAGCACAAAGAAGGTGCAGTTCTATTCATAGCTACAGTGGGGGCAACACCTGAGTTGGGGCAAATTTGTTTCTTAAATTGCAGTTGCTTTGAAGCAGCTTTGGTAGCTGTTATAAAATGGCTCTCTGACATAATAATGATGACTTTTGTGGGTGTTGTGTGGAATGAAACAAAAGAAGTCAAACTTTTTTTACCCCTGCAAAGCTAGTAATGTGTAAGTGGTTTTGAACTTGAAGGGGATTGAAATTTAACCATATTTTCTCAACAATTTTGTCATTTGACTGTTGCAACAAATATAAAATGGGGTGTAGTTCTTTGTACCATTTGTAGTAGTACATTTGCTGAATTTCTCAGTCTTCCTTTGTTAGGTTCTGTCACTTCCTGGATAGGAGATGCCCGTATTTCACTTAAAAAATTCTTTTTTTATTAATTAGGGTAGAAAAGAGTTGGAAGACTATAGTCCAAAGTACATTGATTCCAAGACTACTTCTTCGCTACAAGCCACTGCATTTAAATATTTATTTGAATTATGGGCATTCATGTGTTGTAGTAGGATTTGACATCTGTGAAGTTAAATTTGGGGAAGAAGGCTCCAGGCACTAAAGATAAGCAAGTCTTACTGAATTCTTGCGTTTAACTGTTTTTGTTATTACAACGTTCTGTGAATGTTGAAGATGAACATTCTAATTATTTTTAAAAATAAAAGAAAAAAACCTACACCCTTCAGTTAGAAGTTTTGAATGCAAATGCACAACCCAGAGTGTTTTCATGCATAAACCAGAAGGTGGCACTCATGTTACTTTGAGATCTGTGCTTCAAAAAAAAACAAAGCTGTGGTACTTTGGCTAGCTATATCTTATCCAATATTTATTTTGACTATTTAAATAAAGATATTTAAAACTGCACCAGTGGCTATAATGAGACATTGCTTATTCTGTTTGTGCACCAGCCACAGTGATTTCTAGAGTTGTTGACTTGCTGCTGCTGTGGTGATGATACTGGAATTTCTTCGGGTTAGTTGTCCATCAGTAAATGCTGTAAAGCAAATTTACAGGGACCTTATTTAAGCCTCTGTTCAAGTTTATACTGCATAAATATTTTAAGAATTTTTCCACAAGTCTTTTACATGAAACTAAGTAGAAGACCAGGGAATGTATACTCAGAAGTAATGACGCCAAAGTAAATTGCCAGGTGTAGCATCTCTAAAGATGCACAGGTTTTACAGAAGTAATTTGACCATATTTCATTTTATAATGAAGGCAAGACACTGCCATAAAGACTTTTATGAAACCAGCATAGAAAATGATTTATATTCCATCTGGTTGAATTCGTACATGGATGTGAAAAGTGTTTATCAATTCAATTTTACTTGGCGTGTGCTAATACAGGCTTTGAAGTGATTCTATGTAGTGTTCCTTGCTCATCTAAAGTATGTGTAATAGCTTTTTTAATGGTAACTTGAGCAAAATTAGTTACTTTATTACATCAGTTTGGGACTGTCAGTGGTTAAGGTTTCATGACAAGCATATTCTTGCCGAGTATGAATAGGATCCAAGTAGTATAATGCAATTTATATGCACGTTAAAACTATTTGGTTACATAGTGTATGTCAAAGCATTGATGACGTATGCATTACGTTTGCTTTTCTGGAACGTGTTTACAGCATAACAACAGTAAAGTGTTGTGGCTGACTTTGTTAGAAAGGGATGCAGCCACATTTGCCCGCATAATTGCTTCCAACTCAGTCTCCTCGCAGTGTCTGAGGATTTCAAGAGTAGTTGCTGGAGACAAAACAAGGATGGATGTCATTTGTCCCTCTTTTGTTGCCTTTTGGCAATCAGAGAGAGGTGTGTAAAAACCATTGCTGGTTTGTTACTTTCCCTTCTTCTGCAGAGAGGAGTGGAGTTCTGTAGCAGCAGAGTTCATCCTTCATGAAAGCTCAGTGATGCTAAAGCTAAGCAGTTGCCAACTTTTGTGTTTTGTTAACTTGTAAGAAGCTTTTGACTCCAGTGATTGCAGACAGCTTTTTAAAATTCCACACTGTGTAATTCCAAAACACCAGTCAGGGCAATCTGAGTAACCCATGAGAAATGTTCTTCTTCTGGAATTCGATCACAAGGTTTCTTCACAGCACCACAGGCTCTTGTGCAGCGTGCAGGCCCCTTATGCGTTATTTGTGTGTTACATATTCTTAGAAACCAGTGGTTCACTTGTATCGTAACAAGGCAGTTGTGTTGGACACAAAGAAGTCTTTTGCTTGCTGTTTGTGTCTGACAAGGAGAGTGATTGATTGTGTATTTGATTAGGTCCTTGACTCGGCACAGAGGAGTCCAGTGTGATGAAAACAGCATCATGTGAGCGTTAATGGAGTAAGTCATATTTGCGAGAGATTAGAAAGGGTGGATCTTGTTCAAATCAGTTTGATCTTGATCAAATTCAGGTATTCAAGCTCTGAAATTGCTAACACTTAATGCTGTTAAACACCACTAAACTCCCCTGTAATATTGAAAACAAACAATACACTCTGTTGTCACAATTTTATGGGAAGAAATGGAAGATACTTTGCTCCTCATTAAACTGCTGCTTCTGCAAGCAGTCAGATTCGTGTTTGCATTTCAAAGAAGCTTGCTGAGAAGGTCATGTACTTCCGACTCATTATGCCTGTATATCAGTGGCATACATGATTAGTTTTGAGTAGTTGCTCCAGAAGCCAATGACAGAGACCCTGGACCTCCCAAGAGCTGAGATCATTGGGCCACCAATTTCAGCTGTTGCACTCGTTCTATTTGTCTGTATGTCGGGGAAGTTGTAATGTGCTGAAGGACTCTGATGTAAATGCCTTGGCATTTCTTCCCTGCATCACAGTTTTAAATTTCAATTCTCAGCACCAGTCAAAAAAAATTACCTCCTTTGCAGAACATCAGTTTAATAAAGAACGTTACCTAGATTACCAGGTCTTTCTACCGAGAAGCAGTTGCTGATTAATTTCAAAGAACCTTCAAAATTTCAGTTAAGAAAGTGAACTGATAACTCTGTATTGTCACTAAGCAAAACAGTTTCCACATATCCCATTTCTGTCTCTCCTATTCTAGTTTAATATTCAGATCAGGCTAACTGTAGGGGTAGGTATTTGTTACACTGAAAACTTCTTGAAATGTTTTTACAAATAGGATTTAACAAGATATTTAGCATAGTAATGAATGTTTGCCATGATCTTCTCCTAGCACAGTTTCTTGTGGATTGCTTTCTCTTTGTATTTAATTAGGACATAGCTTTGATTCTGCTTCATGATAACTTAAAATGCTCATTTCTCAATGTCTTTCCATAGTAGCTGTGGCATGGAGGGGATGGGGAGGATCCAGAGGATCCTGAGTAACCGTGAAGATACTGGGCTCATCAGCCCTGTAACTGGTCAAACCTTTTAAATGGCAGAGGCAACAACGGACAAGAAGCTGTGCCAAGTTGGAAAGCAGCTGTCAATGCCACCGGCTGTCAGGGAGGAAGTGGGTCAGAAGGGACTAACCAAGAGGGTAAAGGCTTAAGCGACCTGTCATCACTCGTTCCCACCCCTTGCCATCACCATTTCGATCTGTTTGCATACCAGGTCACCTCTTCAGAATTCTTGGCAGCTCACCAGTCCAACACAGGCTTCCTGTCATGTTGTGGAACATCATTGCCGTGACACTTGCCCTGCTGCTGAGCACAACGGCCAAGAGAAGATGGCTCCCAAGGCTGGGTGGTGCACGAAGGTCAGCAGCAGAGCTGGCCCACCCGGCAGTGCTGTCGTCCAGCCAGACAGGCAGTCACCATAGCTACTGTAAGAATTATCTCTCTAAAAAAACCCCTAACGGAACAACAAATTAGTATTTTCTGTGTTAGGTTATGTGCCGCAACGTGCAAATGTAGCCTTTAACCAGGTCAAGCAGAAAGTGAGCCTCTCAGAATGTTCTTTAGAGCTCTACCTGTGTGGAGACTTTTTTAGCCAAAAGATTGATCACAGTGTCCACCACTGTGCTCTGAGGCAGGAATAGCCCTGTGAGCCCTTGCTCTTTGCATTCCGTGTTCCGCCTCGTTCTTGGTGTTCTTTGTCATTGCAAAGAGAAGGGAGGAGCTCTGCCGGTATGCGGTGATCTATTCAAAATAAGTGTGATACTGGTATTGGCAGCTGTGTAATTGAGAAGTAAACTTTTGTGACAGCCAAATAATGGGTCATTGTTGTGAAATGTTTTCAAAGGAAGCAACTAGACTAACTCATGAGCATTATGATCTTCTGCGTGCTCTCTTCCTTCTGGTGGAAAAGTAGTTTAATTTGCGTTCACGGAGTAGTAATTAATTCATTAATATTTGCCACATATGTATATTGCTAACTAAGTATCTTTTCTTTTTACTCTTTTCCATGTTTTCAGTTGTGTGGTCAATACGGTGTAACTTTCAG